CTCGTGTATTTCGTATGCCATCTATGAGTAGCAACTCAGCCAACTCAAAAGATCTAGCCATAGTATACACTACTTTTCCCCTGTGCCCCATATATGAAGAAAAGAAAAAGTTCTTCGGAAGAATAGAGATGTACTTGTGAATTTTCGAGCTGGGGACACCTGCTCTTCATCAGACGAAATAAAACGAACTGAGAGAGTAAGATCATACTAGACAGTTTAAGCAAATAGAGCAGCTAGACCAGTGGCGTGTGAAGGGAGTCATGGTTTGTGAGCCCGCGTATTTGTGGGTGGCGTGCGTTTGGAAGGAGGAGGGCGAATGGTAGGTCGGTAGATGTTGAGGTGACTGGGTTAGCGGTCGTCGATGTGTGATTAGGACGGGGGACGGTACGGCTTGATCCCAAGCCACCGTATTGGTCGTTCAAATCGACGTGGCGGTTGATACTGCCCGCCGTAAATTATCAAGCCTCGATAAATTCTCGCGTTCGGTTTGCGTTAGCCATGGCGATGGTTTCTGTGTTATCCCAATTAAATGTATGATCGCACTTGATTGCGTGTGCGAAGACGAAGGACAGTCATATTTTCCATCATCAAAGTGGTAAGATGTGTTCCTACTTACCGAGAACAAAAGAAGAGGAAGCCTATGGATTCCCCATGTTTAAGTTAACTGAAGAGGCGGTTCTGTGGAGGCTCGAAGGGCTGATCTTCCGTCCGCACTGTCCAAAATTCTGGGGCAGATATGTCGACGACACATTTGTTATTGTTGTTTTAAGGTGATTTTTGATCGTGTAACCTAAACGAGCTGTCGTCACGCAGGCGGTCACTGTACAACGGGAATGTCATGCGGTTTAGAATGTGCTCTTCCTTATGACGACACGTGAGTCGTTGCAATTAACTCTAAAAACAGCATACATGTCGCATCCATAGTAGCCATCGTGAGCTTTAACTTTTCGCCCGTCGCAGATAATATTGGCTAGGTCCGCCTTTGAATTCGCATCGTACAAGCCATGAGCATGAAATGCTTTTATTTCACAGATAAAACCTCCCGACAGACTTTCAGCGGATTTGGCTTGCCAAAACCACAGAGCACTCCGAAAATTAAGGGTTTCCCAACAGCCGGATGTTTCACACGCGCAGATTGGCGACAAGCACTGAGCACACACCTTAATACGCTTCATCCCTTCAATGTGCATTTGAAAGCACATTTCGGAAATGTTCGTTACTGGACGATTCAGCAGTTCATCAATCAGATCGCATTGAAGTCCCAAATGGACATAACTACCCTTCTACATGGCCTTGCTAGTGCAATTCCTAGGAGTTTGCAACAGCGTCCTTAGGTCTTTGGGTAGATCTTGACGGTAGAACCGCAATGGCTGAAACGAGGCCTTGTTTACTGGCAGTGACAATCGCGAATTCAAGCAGAATTTCCATAGCTTAGCCAGCAAGCACTTACCTCCCACCATGTTCGTCATCTGACTAATTTCTGGGGGGGGGTGTCATATTTTCTATTAAATAACATTCATAACATTTCTGGGCTTAGTTCAGGCATTTCAAATGCTGGTGATCGACCGAGCATCGATGAAGTTAATGGAAGGAAATTTTGCCCCATCACAGCATACTATGCCTTCCTCTCCCAAAAAATTCCTTTCTGTATAGTGCTCCGATGAACATCGTTATACTTATGTTTCATCATTACTATCCACTGGTAATAAAAAAAACGACAGATGAACGGCTTAACTGCACTTAAAAAACCGTGCGGGAGTTGTGGTAAGCTAACAGGCCTGTTCCCACACGAATAAACGTAAATAAGTTATCAATGGTCTAAATTACAGCATTAAGATATAATTCAGGTTAAATAAATGCAGAACGCTGTGCCAAGGGAGACAACCGTTAGTTAAATGAGAAGGCCAAAGAAAACCGCGTGTTTCAAATTCGACCTCCGTTTTCGACCTTAAGGGAATTT